GTTCCCATGACACTGCCTCAAGATATTAACTATTTATTAGCATGTAACTTTAAAGATTATTATGGATATGTCTATTTATTAGATATAAGGTCATATCCAAGGATTTAATAGTACATTAAATCGACAGAAATGCTAACAAACGCCTCTACTGTCTTTAAGTCAGATTTCTGCTAACTGGAGTATTTGAACTAATGTTTCACGGATTTGTTTTGACTTCTTGAAAAATAGAGCATAAACAAGTAAGAAGAGCATTATCTACCCACAGCAAGCTGTGGAGGGGACTATCAGAAGCAGACAGATGGACAGAAGACTATCAGTAGCACCCTGAGATTGACCCAAGAAGTGAAAAGAAACACTAACACAAGTGGTTGAAAGAAATTAGTTGCTTGGTATCATCAGCATTGATTTACATGACTCACTGGAATTTGAGTGGGATTTGAAGTCCATTTGTATTTCATGCACTGTCCTTTAATGCAAGTGTTAAAATTCAGTCAATCCCATTGTCTCATTCCTGTGAATTCTATTGCAGTGTATACCCTAATGGTATTTTCCTCTGGCTGTTATTGCATGCTTTATGTTTCTGGCACAGTCCTAAGCTCCTGGAAAACTGGGGCATTTCATTAGCTCATTTTGTACAGTAACACTTAAAGCAATGTCATGCACAACTTGAGTTCTCTGTGAATACACATTCTGTAAGGTGGTTTAGAACAGACCGTGGGGAAGGATTCTGAAGTAATCATGCCCACTTCTAGGCACAATGCATTGAAGAAGAGAATATGGGTGGTTTGATATGTGTGCACTGCATATTTTGGTGGAAACCCTTAGGTTTTAGTGACTTTTCTTTTGCTGTGAAGAGATAGGATAACTGAGGCAACATATAAAATAAAGTATGTAATTGAGGGATTGACTACAGTTTCAGAGGGTTAATCCATAACCATCATGGTGGGGAACCCAGATGAAAGCAGGCAGACATGACTCTGGAGAAGTAGTTGAGAACTTGTATGTGATCCACAAGCACGAAGTAGAGACAGAGTTAATGAATGGATAGGTGTGGTTCTCAGAAACCTCAAAGCTCACCCTCAGTAATACACATCCTCCAGCTAAGCCACACCTCCTCCAACAAAGTCACATCTTCTTCACTTAGACCACATCTCCTCCAACAAGGTCACACCTCCTCCAAGGTCACACCTCCAAATCATTCCCAAATAGTTCCACCAACCATGAAACAAACATTCAAATATAAGTGCCATTTTCATTCAAAGCACCATACCTTAGTATGTATGAAAATGTAAAACAAAATTGAAAGAGTTTACAAACTCGAAAGCTGTCTTAGCCAACTCTAAAGAAGCCTTTGTGACACTTTGCCTGTGCTTTGTAATTTCACAGTATTAGGGTGGTCGCACAGTTTTTTGTTAAATTGCCCAGTTTCTGTCAGGTAATTAAAAATATTATGTGAGTTGAATGTGGCTAGATTAACTACTTTCTTATGTATAAGTGCCTCAGGTCTTCCCCAAATAAGTTCCTAGAAATTTCATCTTTATTTGCTTGAGACATACAGAGCACTGACTAATACTTGGAAGAGCTTTTCTTTCCCTTTTTCTTAGGGCAAAATCAATACTTTCTGTGATCTATGAAAAATGATTGCAAAACTAAAAGAGAAGAACTATGTAGAGACAGAGGTATGTGCGTGTTTGTATTATGTACTAATGTTTCTGTCTCCATCTTAGCAGTAATAATGTAAGTTATTTTGTATAAAGTCAGATGTATTTCATCAACCAAGTTCTCTGACTTGTCTATCTTCTATTGTACATTTAGATGTAAAAAAACTTATTTCACACTAATTTATTCAGAAGAACTAAGTGAATTCACACATATATGCACACAAGCACATTCACACGCAAATACAGATACACAGAGTACATATTTAAATGTTTGTGAATGATACAATGGAAAATCATTCTTAATATCAGCAGTAGGCTAATTAAGTTTATTTTGTTATATATGATAAAGTTCTTAAACAATAATGCACTTTAAAAAGAGATTCATAAATTTAAAATGTTTAGTTGTGTTAACCATTGGTAAAGCTTACATGAAAATAGCAGATGATATTGTTATCTCAAACACTGATCCTGAAATGAAGCCACTTGAACATCCAGACCTTGATGTTGGGACTTTAACTGGTACACCTGCTAAAGTTACCGTGTATCTATCCTGCAGTGATGCAATTCTCGTTCTACATAGACAGGTGGACAGAGTGTCCTTATTCTGCCAGCACACAGAAGTCTCCAGGAGAGGTTTGCTTTTAGAAACTGAAGATTATAGACAATGATCCAAATCCATACCTGAAATTTTGTTTAAATCTTTTAGAAACTGAAGATTTTAGACAATGATATAAATCCATTCCTCAAGTTTTGTTTAACTAATATGTTAACATTTAATATTCCAGTGTATTTTGCTAACAGTTTTATATAATTGCACACTCTCTTGATGTGTATTAAGCATATACTCTCTTATACACTTCACTTTAGTTCCATCTGGTCCTCTGAAGCAGTTAATACACAAAACAGGGGGAGGTAAGTTATGGTTTGAATATATATATATATATATATATATATATATATATGTGTGTGTGTGTGTGTGTGTGTGTGTGTATGAATTTCTTAAAATAAAAAGTTTCAGAACTCAAAAATAATACTCTGAGTTTTTAAATAGACTTGTCCTACTTTAAAACTTGTAACAATTTCAAGCGATGTGATGAGTTTTATATTTGTTAAAACTTTAGAAGCACAAATGGACCAAAAAACCACAATCAACATAGGAGCACAAATATCAGAAAAAATAGCTGAAAAAAAGCTTTAGCTTTTGTCTTTGGTTCATATTTGATTGGTAAGTCATTGATAGACTATAGATTTTCTGGGAAAAGAAATTAATTTGTCATTATCATTATTATGACACAGAAAATGAAATAGTTTTATGAATGTTAATAAACACATTAATCAAAGTAAACTGAAGTTTCCTTCCAGTACAGTTCAAGGACATTTTCATATAAGGTTAGTGTGTAAGTATTTTCAATACAGAACTAAATATGTTTCTCTCTTAAGCATATATAAGAGTGGGTATTGCTACGAGACATTTATTATTTACATTCCTTTCCTCCTCCCATATAAATGGCTGTACATACTAAATGCTTTACAGTTTCTCTTATGAAAATATTTAAACAGAATTTTAATTTATGTTGTTATTAATTAAATGTGCACTTTGAAAGGTTTGCACATATATTTAGCACATCACATTCTGTCTGTTCTCTTTCCACACTATATACTTGGAAATAATATTACTGCAGAAAATCACAACAGGCCAAAGTGCATAGAGGGTTTACGGAGTATTCAGCCATGGAAGGAATATCAACAACACAATCCTGCCACCACCCCTAAAGCTCAGGGAGCATTGTGGAAGAAGGGATGGAAATGTAATAAGATGAAGGAATTGTGGAGGACCAAAGGTAAAAGTATGTTTTGGAAATGATAGCGTCTCTGAACTCACTCGTGAACCTGCAAAATTTGTCATTCCCTACACAAGATCAGCATTAGGTCAACACTGGGGAACTGAAGTGCTATTGATAGCAGACAGCTGATGGAAAAGAGAAAGTCAACTTTCTTTAAGGTTGTTGCCTCTTGGTTGATTAGCCACGCTCTCTAGTTGAGAGCTCCACACTGCCAGGTATATGGGCAGGGCAAGTTTCATTCAGTAGGTTAAGAAAAAATAAAATAAGAAAGAGGTCAAAGAGCATAGAGAAGGGATTTGAGAGGATAGGGTGTATGTATCAGGAAGAAGCTAAAGGGATGAGTTGGTGGTAAATATGGTCAAAATATATTGCATGCATGCATGAAATTCGTAAATAATTATAAAATATTATATTTTAAAGTTTCAGATGAATAAAATTTAAAACATAAAAAGAAAAGTATATTTACCTAATTCAGTCCTAGAGCTGTGTGTCTTAGTGTCATTCTCTATACATGCAAAACAAAAACAAGCCAACAAGTGAAGTCCTTTTTCCATTTCTCAGCATCTGGGCTGTTTTCCTGGCCACTAACTTATTTAGAAGTATCTGAAATTCCCAGGAAAAAACATGCAGCTTGTTTCCTCCATGGATTTCTTGTGAGTCTGGTAAAGGAGCCAGATACAATTCACAGCGTGCACACTAAGGCACAGCTGAAAATAAATGTACATATTTTTCCATGTGATCTTTTTCAATGTCTTCCTTTATTGTATGACATATTGAAATGTCAATGAAAATCATCAAACTAGAAAATATTTTATGAAAGTCATAAAGTGTTCATTTGCATTACATTTCAGTCGAGCATTATGTTGACTCGAGGCATGTTTCATCCCTGTCTAGTTCAGTTACGATGATCCTTACTGGAAGCCCTGTGGCCATTGGAAAAGTCATATTCAGTGTTTGCCAACAGAGATTGGGGCTGGACAGAAACCGTTCCCCAGTGATAGTGTGACTTTCTGCATATGGAGAAATAGCACAGACACCTTCATGTTCAGAAAATGTTATGAAAAATATATTAGGGAACAAAAATGAGGAAAAACATTTTCTAAATCCTGAGTTATGTGAGAAATGATTATTGAGATATCACAAACTTTACAGTTCACAACACTTTATTGAAAAAGATGTTTTTCCTTTTTCACAAATTCCATTATTGAAAAACAAAAAACCACATCTGTAAACTCAGCACTTGGTGGCAGAGGCCAGGGTATCTTAATTTATATGTTAACCTGGTCTACCACATGAATTCTAGGCCTCTCAGTGCTACATGGGGAGACTCCTCCAAAATAACCAAGCAGACAAAAGATAAGCAAACCGATGCAATGACAGGCAATTCTTCAGAATCATAAAATATCATTTTATGAATACTTAAAAGAAAGAAACATTAACCTAGAGAGGAGAATGCAATCTTGAGCAATTACTTCCCACATTTGGTCCATCTTACCTCTAGAACCAGCTGCTGCAGCGATGGAGATGCTACTGGATGCAGACTGGTGTTGCCACGCACAGGACTCTGAAGGCTAATGTAAGACACAGCCTTCTTTTGTAGAACCTTCGCAAGATCCTGGAATGAAAGATTTAAAAGTGGTGTAATTAAAATAACACATTCTACCTTTAAGGATAATAAATATTTTGATGTTAAAATATGATTCTTACCAGAAAGAAGCTGTAAAATACTTTCTTATATGTTAAGGATAATCCTTCTCCCTCTCTATTAAAACTCTTCCTCAATCTTGGTTTGCTCTGCTAAGCATAATCAGTCTGTTGCTAGCAGTACTTATATAAAGTAATCATTTTAAGAGAAAGGAGTTGAAAGGTTAGTATAATGTTCAGTTCAACTGTAGAATACAGTTAGATAAGGAATTTTCTTCAATGATAGTGTCTAATGCTATAGTCATTGAATTAGAACATAATTGCTGAGCTTCACTGGTTAGGGCTGACAGACTTTTCCTGTGAAGTAGTAAACTAATTTGCACCAATAAACTCTTATTTCAAGGAAAATTAGGCAAAAAAGAATTGTGAACCTGAAAATATTTCCTTATAAAAACCCTCATGAGTGCCATGTGCCATGAATGACTCTGGCCTGGCTTTGCGTTTGTTATCCCTGCCCTGCAGCACTGAAGATTTCTGACCCCACGTTGAGGAGAAAGCTCTGAGGGACTTATATCCTTGATTTCGCTACTTAATGTTGGAAATTCATCTACAAATTGAGATAAATGAGCAATTACTTAAAAGTAATTCATCTTTTTAATCAACACATGAGTAGTTAAAACTCTAGTAATTTTACATACAGTATGATAAAAATTGAATTGTCCATTATTACTTAAATTTTATGAAAACAATCCTCATAACATGTGGATACATAGACACTTCCTTGCAACACATGAGCACACACTCTTAACATATGAGGATTAAACTACACCCTCTTAACACTTGAGGCTACAGATACCCCCTTCTTTAAAACATGAGGATAAAGATTACCCCTCTTAACGCAAGAGAACACAGAGACTCCCTCTTAATGCATGAGGATACAGAGACCCTCTCTTAACACATGAGGATACAGATACCCCCCTTTAACACATGAGCACATACACACTTCCTTGCAAATCATGAGCATAAGACATTTCCTCTTTCAGATAATGTGATTTTCATGAGCGCCGCAGGAGAGAGACAGTCATATACTTACTTGAGGAATCTAATCTCAGAGATGTCAAGTTTGTCAAAATAACATGTCTATAATAGAAAAGATCCGAACTCCTATTTCCTTACTTTAAAATTTGTAGTATTTTCAGAGGAGCATATGAAAAATATTCTTCACATAAGAAATAGTATTTTAAAAGATGCTGTTCTAAGAAATGCCATGATTCTTCACAAGGATCAACGTCAGTTCCAAGTCAATTCTCTATTACTTGTGTGGATAAAATTACCATTTAAAAGTTTCTTTAGCAGCTAATTCTGTTAACTTCAGCTGGGTATTCAGGGTTTCCTATGCAAGCAAAATCATGGAGGGCAAGATGGGACATGACCAAAATTTTTTTCTTGCTCACTTCCTCTCAGGATTAATACAAACAAAAGTGTTTCCTTCTCAGAAGGCACCCATTGCATAAAAGTAAATGGAATGAGCTACCAAGGGTCTACACTTCCCTTCAAATGGATGACATTTAAATGTTTTTATGAGCCACAGTGGTGTAACATATATAAAAATTATAATACACTTTAATTAATCAATTTTGAACTCTGAAAATCCTTGATCATTTATTACTTTTGTCTTTGTCCATCTACTCACCTAAGAGTTTAGAAGGTAACTAGATTTGTAAATTTCCTCAGTTTGAGACATACATAAACATAAACATGAGAGCAACCTACATTTAATTAAATATATATAATTGAATAGAATTATATTACTTTCCCTCTATCCGGATGTTCCTCTCTATACCTCTCCTAAGTACACTTACTTCAGACCCTCATGAAACCAATGAATCATTTAAGTTGCTAACCTATTTTTCTTTATTATCACTGCATTCATATACATTCATATGCATGAACAAATATGTAAATACTCTTCGCTGAGTCTGTTTTTGTTGTTTGTGTGTATACAATCAAGTTTTGTATACTTTGGAACTTATGTGCCATAGCAGATTTTGTATTTTGTCTGTGCTGAGAAGTTACAGAGCTGTTAAAAGGAACAATGAATTCACAATGTACGTAAAATAAACTTATATTTTATGAAGCACAAAATATTCAAGTAGTTTGAAAAAATTGCTCAATACATGCAAATTTGTATTTATTTAATTTTTAGATCGTGTTGACTGACATTTAAATAATTCCAAGGAATTTTTGCAGTACAGTTCTCTATAAATTTGGGTTTAAATTATGTAACTTAGGAAGTAATGTAAAAAAATGTATTTTATGGATGTGATTTGTACATACTTGTTGAATAAATATTAATATAAATTAATTGTGAAGGTTGTAGACACAATGGAGAGTATTTTAAAACATTCTTTAAGATGTTTTCTTAACATATATTAGAAAATTGAATCTTAATTTCATTGTTTTATAATTATTTAAAACAGTACAAATCAATAAACATGCAAAAAGATACTTTTAAATTGTTTTACTAGTCTTGAAGTGATGAAATAAACTTTAAAATTTTGTTTCAAAAGCTACTGTTTTTTTCTGCTGGAATTGAGAAAGGTTCAAACATTGGAGTGTCTTCATTAGAAATACATTTTTTGAAAAGAATCTCATTAGAGGGCTCTGCAGGTCTTGTTGAGCTTACTTATACCAGTAAACATTTTCTTAGCTTTAAGATTATTTCCCTTTATAAAAGTACAGGGGGTCTTTCTTTTACTTTCTTTAAGACTATTTTTTATTTCATGTGTGTGTGTGTGTGTGTGTGTGTGTGTGTGTGTGTGTTCCCCTTAAGTAGAATGATGAAGTATAATGATCAAGCAAACATTACTGGAAGTAATATGCATGTATGTGGATGTGAGAGCAAGAAGTCAATGGAGTAGGATTAGTTTTCAATCTTACAGAATCCACAAAGGAATAACTCAAATTTCCTCTCAGAAATTAGCAAATAGGAAGCCCTTTTGAGAAGTTTATTATTTATTTGCCTTCAATAATATTAGACTGAAACATCTGGAAAATAAAAGAATGGAAGGAATGAAAATAAAATTGAAGATTATAATTAATAAATTTTTTCACCTCTCCCCATTCATAGGAGCCAATGTTGCCCCAAGTCGTTCCTCCCCATGAGCAGAAAACAATGGTACGCTCTGGTCTCCATCCTTTATTCACTCTTAACATCAAGACTTGGATAAACGCTGTGATGACTGCCGTACTGCTGGCCCATTCCTGTTCATTATAACCATATCCAGCATAGTGGTTACTGCCAACTATAACATACCGGTCTGGAAATAGAATGAAATGGAAATTATTAAAACAAAATGTAAGCCTCAACAATAAATTTAATGACATTTACATAAATCTATTGTACAAGTAAGAACCAATTGAGCCAAATTGTTCTGATAATTAATACCACGTTAGCATTTTCCACCACCTTTCTTGATTCCTATGTCTGGGATATCAATGCAGAAACAGCTGCTAAAGTCAGTTATGAATCCAAAGTTTAGGTCCATATTACTGTTCTTTGGAACATGAATATTATTAATTAATTAAGTTTGCAATATACCACAATGAAACTCTTTTCTAACATTTTACCGGCATCAAGGTGGGTAGTATACCACAATGTGTGTGTGCTTAGTGAATAACAATGAACTATTAACACATCTGAAAAAGAAGTATCTTAGGAGCCATATATATTAAAATTTGCTAGTCATGTATAGACCGTAAAAAGAATAGGTATATAGGGATATACTTATAGTTTTAATTTATCCTTCTAACCCTTCTCCATTCTCTGAAATAAAATAGAACACCATCAAGTCAGGTCCACTGATAATTTAACTTTTCACATGTTTTATTTCTTGCGGTCACACACAATTCCTTAGAAAATTTTCCATGACTCATGGTTTACTGACTATACACATAGTTAAAGGAAGATCAGAATACAGCTCCTGAGAGTCCTCTTGGTTTTTTTTTCTTTTTCTTTTTTTTTTTTTTTGCTGTCCTTTGTTTTATTTTGTTTAGCTTTGGTCAATGTATGTTATTCACAATGTCAACAGAGTTCACCTTATTTGATCAAGTAACCCTATGAATTTATAAAAAAGCATTCTCATTATTGTTTGATTAGATGATTTTTCCATGTACCTATACAGGCAGGTGTCAGCAAGAAGGCACAATGGGTATAGGTGCTGTGACCTCAGTTTGATTCTGGACCCACATGGTGAAAAGAGAGACATAACACCTGCAAATTTTCCTCTCACTTCCATATCTTGCTAGTGGTATCATCCCCTAATAATGGACACAAGAGATATCAATTTGGTTTTTGAAAAAGAGGCCAACTTTGATAAAAATCTGGATTTTGGTTAATAATAAATAACAATTTATTATTAGCCAAATTTATTATTACCAACAATGACAGGTTGTACAATAATGGAACCATGGAGAATAAATACATTGCATGAAAAATTTAAGAGTTGGATGTCAAGTAATAGGGGGGAAATTAAACTAGATTTCAAAATTCTCTTGGTCAGCAACCAGGTTTAGTATTATAAAGAAAAATATTTCTCCAAGGAGTGATCAGTAGGTGTCCAACTCAAATCCACAGAAGTGGTTTGAGTGCAATAACCTTACTGCTGCTCTGAGGATGGGAGATGGACAGAGTGAGTTAAAGAATTTAGCCCAATTCCAGTGATCTGAGGTCAGTCCCTGGAGTCTGTGATGGAAGGAGAGGAGTAATTCCTGAAAGCTGTCCTCTGACACTCAGATGCCCATGACAGCACTACTGTGCCCATCTTCTCTCTCACACAAGTATGTAATAAATGAACATTTAACAAAATGAAAACAGTAGTAAATTGTATACGCTTTGCTGTCATTCGGTGATCTGGGATCTGGCCGTGCCATGAACCATAGTGTGCTGGCATTAGTCAGTTAACTGGTCATGTACCAAATTCCGTTATTTTGAATTTTCATACTGATCATTAAATCAACAGTTCAAAAGAAGGTGTAAGTTATTTAATACCTAATGAGATAATCATTTCCATAAAAGACCTTGGGAGAAACTATGAGTGGACGACTTTTCACATGCAAAAGAACAAAGACATTGAGAGGAATTATGAGTAGAAGATATATTAAGGTTGGGGCGGAGAATAACATTAAAAGTTTCTGTTTTGAGACCAGAATTTGATTTGCTTTCAACAAAAAGTATTTTGACATTGAACTGAAATTTTCCATAGTATCATGGTTAGAAAATAAGAAAAGTATTGCGTTTTGATTTCTATCTCAGTTTACCAAATATAAACTTCCCTCTTGTCTCCTTTCCTGGCCTTTACACTCTCCTATATGTTACATTCTCATATACCCTGCCTACCAATGCTTATTTCTGATGGCTGGTGTAAGAAAGAAAGGAAAACATATTTCAAACTTTTATATCAATCTTCTTTTAGTCACCTAAACCTCCAGTTACATATAAAATAGGATACTGGACGCCCTTTCAAAATTATCTTGGAAAATAGGACACTTTGGTCATTTTATGTGAATTAGGAACTAGATTATAACTATTTAAGCCAACTTACCTGGTGACGTCCTGCCTCTTACACACCCAACAACATTAATCACTGGTTTAAATTCCGTGACTGTCTGCACTTGCAAACTGACAGTTCTTTTTTCTGTTAAAAGAAAAGATATTAAAAAAACTTATTGATATTATTGTGTTTCCCTAAATCATTAGCAATTTTTTATGTAGTAAATATAACTCCACATGAATTACTTTTTTCAAATAGCTAATATTACACTTTAGTTACCAAATAAGATTATTTTTATGCTCACTCTATTTTAGGGATTTGTCCTGCTATGGTCACCACGACACAACTGCCAGCTTCCTGCTATGATAGCTGTGAAGTGACACCCTGAATCTCACATTTGTTCCAGCACTGGAGCCAACATAAGAATACACACGAAGTTGCTGGGGGATTGAGAACGTTACAACTTGTTAAAAAGAGAGAAAGAGAGAGAGAGAGAGAGAGAGAGAGAGAGAGAGAGAGAGAGAGAGA